CAATATATTCATTTGAAGTACATTTCTCACAAGAATATTTCCATGATTAGTATATAAATACATTATTGATTTTGAATGGCAATCAAAAGATTTTTTTAATGTATATTCTACCTCAGAAAGATAGCATAAAAAGTGCTCTCCAGTTTCATTTCTAAGTGATATTAGTTCTTAGCCAAAATGTCAACTTGGCTGATACCAAAAGTTTGCAAGTATTGTTGCTTATATGAATAGATTTCTAATATTTTATCAACCTTAGTAAAATTGTTAAAACCTATATCCTCCAAAAATGTAAGAAAGGTTCTATTATCAGGTCCATTTTTCCGATGAGGAAAATAAAGCACAGAGTGGTTGAGTCCCTTTCCAAAAGTCATACACTTAGTTTATGGCAGGTCTGGTTATCAAGAAACCCTAAATGCAAGAATACTGGATGCATATTAATTGAGTATGTATCAGTCTCAAAACTCAATATGGTTCTGAATAGACATTTCTGAACAAAGTTAATAAATGGAAATTCAAAAGCCATATCTATTCCAAAATAAATATAGGAAACTATTTAGGGGGCCATTTATGCCTATCTACATCAGCTGTGTCACACATGTTTATTTCCCTCATAAAAATATTCTATACTGGACCTATCCAACATATTAAAATATTTGTTCTTTCAGACAATAAGAAACAATAAAACCACTATAAAAGCTACAGTGAAATTAGACCTGTCAGCCCACACTAAACACTTAAATGAGGGCTTTTTTTAGTTTTAATGATGTTAGATTTCCTGAAATAAAAATTCATATAAAATTCATAAAAATAATGCCAGAAGTTGGTAGACCATGTTAAGGTATTTACTACTTCATTAAAAGCAGACTGACCCATATCAAAATGGAAGAAATCCGCTTAATGGAGACAGTGACTGCTAATAGTCCAGCAAGTTGCCCTCTGTGCCTTCCCCACTTCCATGCCCTCCTTCCTTGGGCCCTTGTTCCCTCCCCTCCTGCCTGCTCCCTCCTGCCCTGCCCTCCTTTCCTCCTTTCATTATTAATTTTGTGGTTACTGAGCATCCTTACATTTCTAAGGCTCAGTGTAACTGAAAACAGCAAGCCACCGAGAAGCACCACTGGTGAGAACAGGAGTTCTAGAGTCAGCCAGCCCTGGGTTTAAATGCCAGTTTTCCCCTTCCTGTTGGGATTATTTCGGTCAAGTCACTATACCTCATCGCTAAGATGGGGATACTAGTACCTACCTGGTGGTGTTGTGAGTGTGATTTAATTAAATAAGCCAACATATGTAGCCTGAGGACCACTATACCTGGCATATGGAAGGTGTTTGAGATATGTTCAGTCCCTCCTCTTACCTTACTCCCCTTATACCAGCATTTTTTTTCCTTCAAAGAATAATTCCTGTTTATTTTTCTAAGGTCCAAACTATCCTTTCAAAGAAAAAAAAATCATTTAGTTTTTCTACAAAGCCCTATACAAATGTAAGAATTTGCCAAAATACTGTAATTATTAAGTCATAGGTAATTAATAGTAATTATGTGCCTGGAGCCCACAAGGTTCCCCCAAGTGCTGAGTGCTTGTCTCGACTTTTGGGGCCTAGAAACCATTTGGCTTACCGTGACCCCATAGTCCTTTCCTTCAGGGTGTCTAGCAGTTCCGGCTTCCATTCAGCTTAGGAGTTGTTTTTGTAGCTATCAGCAGAGAAGGAAATGGCATAAAGCAATGGCAGTGTTTTTAAGTTTAAGTAATATTTGCTTCCAAGTATTAAAAACTGTTGAAAGCCAGAGTTGGTGACAGTTGTCAGCCAAGGAGTACTTACTGAATATGAATTTGGACATGGATTTGAGAAGACAGAGGGGCCCTCATCCTCAAAAAGCTTCCCAAGGCAAGGGAGGAGGGCACTGCGGACTCTAGGAATTCCAAATGTCTGCAGAGTATTTCAGAAGGCTGGGAGTCTCTGGTAAGTTCCATAAGGCATAGACTTTGTCTTC